ACGATTGGCCCCTCTTGGTCAGCTCCATGACGATTGGCCCCTCTTGGTCAGCTCTATAACGATTGGCCCCTCTTGGTCAGGTCCATGACGATTGGCCTTTCTTGCTTGATGATCAGCATCAGTTCGGCTAAACAGCCGGACAGCGAGGGTCCGGGCACTTCCAGAGTTCTTGGTAGTAGCTCGGATAAGTTTGGCGTGTTGAGAACGATGAAGCAGATTAAAGTGTAAACTACATGGTGCTACGATGGTAATGAGGCTCTGTTATAACAGCGAGTGCAGTCTTAATGAGTGAAACCCTGTTTACATTCTGATGGGAGCTTGTCATTGATGTTTTTAGAAGTTCCTGTATTAGCGTCTGAAATCACCCCATTTTGATTTCTTGTCTCTGTGGAACAGACACCTTCCAGAACACCGTGGACCAATTTGGCCATCTGGACATCGTCATCAACAACGCCGGCATCACCAACGAAAAGGACTGGGAGAAGACCATCCAAGTGAACCTGGTGAGATGGCAAACCAAAATAACACGCATGCTGCCTTACTGCATGAACGCTAGATCAGACTGATGCCCCGGGGGTGGTGCATCAGAGGAAGCTTAGCATGCCCATGATATCTTTCCCCATCAGCACCTCACTGATGCTCACCTGATGGAGGTGCAGCATCTGACCAATCGCAAACATGCATTTTACAAAGGATGATAAATATGTAAGATAATTGAAGCAGAAACATTTGCAGCTTTATCTCTTTTTGTGCGTTGAGGAAAAACCTGAGGAAGCCTAATCAGAAGTATTATTATGTGCAGCACTTTGTGATTCTGTCTAGAACGGTGCTATATAAATTTTAAAAAAATTATTTATTTATTAAAGTAGCATAGAGCTTTTCCTTTCAGATCGCAACTCAGAGGATCCAGAGCACACCGCTCTTTTAGATCCTCAGCTCTTCCTGAACTGTGCAGGTTTCCCAGGCCATGTGGAATAAGGAATGTCGGGTGTAACCTAACACTCAAAGAAGGCAGGGAGTCAAAACATTTTTCAAAGTTAGATTGGAATGTGATCCAGATAGAGCCACAGGTCACAACACAAAAGTTTATCCTGTGGCAGCAACTCACTTGAAAATAGTACAAATGTTGCGTGTAGTCGGGGAATGTCAGCCTGTCAGAAGGTGAACGGTTGGATTCTTCTCATGGTGGCGACGAGGCTCCCAAAACTGCAGGTCCTCATCGATCCATGCGTATACATACAGAAACTGAAAGCGGTGACTAAAGTACTATCAGCCTCATCTTCTGACATTTTGTCTTATTATAAATTCAGCCCCACGCTAACCCGCTGACATCACATCCTGTGTTGTCCACCTTCATTCTGTGTCAGTGCCAACAGGGGGCGACACCGGCACTTGCTGAATAGATGGCGGAAATGACTTTCCTGATAAGTTCATTGGCTTAGCCAGTCGTTTCTAGTTTGGCTGGTAAAAATAACACTCTGTCTGCGGCTGTTGTTGGTCACCTGTCACAAATACCTGCTCTGTTCACCTTTGACCTCTGTGTTACAGCACGGAGAACCTCCAGCTCTCCATCTAATAGAAAGTAACGACAGCTCAGGTTTAAAGTGAAAAAGGACATGAGAATAGTTCAATCGAGATACTTCAGCTCAGTTTGAAGATCCGGACCAGTTAGACTACTTCAGCTGTTTGTGACTTCACACCAAGCCACAGTGGAAAAACACGAGCTGCGGGTCTTACCGTGGATCTTTCCTGCTGTATAAATAAACATGAGTTTTCCTTATTTTCAGTCACGTATCTCTGCTCCAGCAGTGAAGGCTCATGTTAAACATGACCATACTTCAGATAATAAGGTCAGTGTACAAGTCCTCTCTGTGAGCCAAAGCTCGGGCTGCAGACTGCTCTAAACCCTCGGTTTCACAGCTCGTCTTCCTGTTAGCTCTAAATATGTTTCAATAACAACAGCTGAATTGAACTGCATGATGTCACAGAGAGGGAATATCCTAATATGGTCTTCTCAGGTGAATGGCTGAAATCTGGGCCACAGAAGCTCTACATACTTGCTTTTCAAACGTTTGTTTATGATGGGCAGCCAATAAGTGAAACGTTGGCTTAAAGACAGGTTGGCCTTTAAGGGGAGGGGCTAAAGCAGCTTGTTTTAAACTGAGGCACTCATACGGGGCCCAGTACAGGACTTATCAACTGTATTTGAGTCTGACAGTGGACGGTGATATGGGACTGACACAGTACAAGCACAAGAGGGACTAAAAAAAGCCTCTTTCTTGCTAACAGCACAGCTGGTCGACGATGGGCTCCACCATCGAGACTCTGTAAAGTGTGGCCCGCAGAGAGACCTGATCTCTTCTCACAACATACCGCTGTGACTCATTGTTCCTGAATTGGCTCCCGTTCACATCAGCTGTTGGAGTCAGACTCCATCCAAGTTCCAGTTCGAGGATACTTTCCTCCACTTAGTTGCATATTTGGGATGTTTTAAGTTTTCAGATGTGAACTTTCGACTCCAACAGAACTGTATGAAACGCAAATGTGGGACTTAAGATGTGATGGATGTGCATTTATGGAGCGCGGCATGTTACGTAAAGGCCCTTGCTGTGATAGCAAAATAAAAGTCTGCCCATACAGTCAGTGATGCTTTGGCACTGGTGGCACTGGTGGCACTGGTAGCACTGGTGGCACTGGTAGCACTGGTAGCACTGGTAGCACTGGACCGGGAGCTGCAGAAAGGGAAATGTGTTGCAGTGGTTTGTATCACATCTGTCTGACAGTGTGTTCATGCAAACGAGGCATCTTCTTAAAAACAAAGTTAGTCATGGACTTCCTGAGACTGATACTTTTTACATTATTCAACTCACCCTGGACACAGTCTGTTTGACCTGCTCCCCTCAGGCAGGAGGCTCCGGTCCATTCGCACCAGAACCTCTCGCCATAAGAACAGTTTCTTCCCCTCTGCTGTTGGACACATGAACAATAACCACATGACTGTCCCCGCCACTAACACATGACCCTACGCTGTGTCACTGCATCATTTCATGTTTGGCACTGATCACCACCTGCACTCATGTATATATCTTTCTACGTAGCACTCATAATTCTTATTCTCATGTATATATCTCATGTATATCTCATGCACATATCTTTCTTTCTACATAGCACTTTAATTCTTATTGTTTGCACTGAAGCACCGCAGCAATTTCCTAATGTTGTAAACCTCAACATCTGGCAATAAACCCCATTCTGATTCTGATTCTGATTCTGAATCAACTTTATTTACACAGCAAATCACAACAGCAATCGCCTCAAGGCACTTTGTATTGTAAGGTCGACCCTACAATAATAGATACAGAGAAAAACCCAACAGTCATATGACCCCCTATGAGCAGCACTTTGGTGACAGTGGGAAGGAAAAACTCCCTTTGAACAGGAAGAACCCTCCAGCAGAACCAGGCTCAGGGAGGGGCGGGGCCATCTGCTGTGATTGGTTGGGGTGAGAGAAGGAAGACAGGATAAAGACATGTTTTCCTTAGAAAATATTATTATAAAGCACTACATATGTATTCATTGCTATGCAGATGATGCCCACCTATATGTATCTATGAACCCTTGAGCAGGAAATGAATCAAACTACTCAGATTATGATTCGAATTCATATAACTTTATTAATCCCAGAGTTCACAGCCGACCCAGCCTACGCTCTCACAGCCCACTGTCTTTAAACTCTGATTTCAAGAGCAGAGTCAAAGCAGAGGTCAGGAAAAATTCGATGAATAAAAAGAACAAAATAGATTAACAGCGTGCTCAGAGGGAGCGTTTCTGTACTGCTGCGCCTTAAACTGACGGTGATGTTTGATTCTGTGTTGAGCTGAGTTCCTCATCGACGATCGTTGTGTGTCTGGCAGGTCTGTCTGAGCCCGTCTTTGTGTTGTGGTTCCTGTCAGCCCGTCACACATGCTTTAATCATCAGTCACAGCCTGATACTCGGATAAGAGCTGATACACTGATAACCACTTTAAAGGTGCGCTGTCTCACGCTGTCAGTATCACTTCTCTTTCTTAAGCAAACTTCAGATCTGTCAGACCATTTTCATTCCAACACTGACATCAGCTAAACCAAAGCAAAAGTTTAATTCATTAAAAAGTTTTCCATCTTTGTTTTCTTGACTCTCGGGTAAGTTCACACCTGGTGCCCCAAGGAGCTGTTTGTCTTTGGAGTCGGGTCCATTTATGCAGCCCTGCTGGTCTCAGACTGGGGGAGTGTTTGTGTGCGCGGCCGGGTGTTGCCTCCTACACGACTCTGTTAGGAGCACATGAGTTTGGTATATTCAGCAGTTCATTGCTGGAGAGGAGACCAGGTGAACACTTCACCTGTGCTCTGAGTCCTGATGCTGCTGGGTGAGTCACCTGACTGCTCACCAAGTGTCTGTGGGCAAGAAACAGACCCAGAGCTGTTGCATCTGCTTTCTTTTATTTGTTGTTGTTTGTTGTCCCTCAGTGCTTCATGACTCCATGCCCAAACACTTTTAACCCAGTCTTCATCCAGACCCCCTCCTGCCCCCTGTTTTGGGGGCCTATAACATGACAGTAATAATGTGACACTAACTGGAGCTTCAATAACCGCATCATTTCTGTTGCTGTGTCAGCTGTTCTGCTAAAGAAACAATTCTTTGCAGTCAGTGAAGAGTGAGAAGCTCGTCTTTAAAGCGTGTTATCAGTGGGTTCACGCATGTTTAACTTCCTCATCACGAGCGCATGCCTCAGTTTACAGCTGTGAACACTCGTCTTATCTTTGTCTGCAGACCTCGGTCATCAAGGGAACCTACTTGGCTCTGGAGCACATGAGCAAAGAGAACGGCAAGCAAGGAGGCACCATTATCAATGTATCCTCTATGGCAGGTAACACGCACACGTGCAGAAACATGTATTATTAAAACAACAGACACTCTGCCAGGCTTTCAGATTTCATACAGCGATTTTTGTTCAGGGATGTTAAAGTCCGCCAAAGATTACACGACAGTCGTGTCCATAAGGCCACGGCGGCGTGTGACTGCACTTCGCCTGAGTCCCTGCTGCTGCGGCGAGCTGCCAGTGGCTCTGAGAAAGAGGCGCCCCCACTCATCACCCTCCAAAATCAGCTGACTAATGTTCCCAGTGCAAATACAACAATTGGCTTTTTCTTCCTGTTCATTTCAAAGGGCAGAGGGCAGCGAGTCAGAGGTCAGCAGAAAGCTCAGCTCAGTCTGACCTCATCACAAGGACGTTTTCTGCAGCGGCACACCCGGGCGCGCTTCCTGTCTGTCAGCTTTTCTGCTTCTATTTTGTGCTGCGAGCTGAACGCTGTGTCTGTGAACCTTCTTCACTGTGCATGAACCCTGCAGCTCTTTAGAGACCTGCAGCTTAAAAACACGACAGCGGGGCGTCAGCACTGACCTCGTCACATACTTGGAAGCAAAATGGTGCCCTTCCTGAGTAACAGCAGATATGAATGAGTGATATGAGCTCTAGGAGTGGACCAGCTGGGAGCACCTGGCTCTCCGCTGACTTTCTCCTTTCAGAAAGACGGAGGCTGCGTTTATGTCAAATGTGGCTGTAAGAAATCTGTCCTCTCTGGAGGCCTGGCTCATGGAAACATTCCTCTTCTTCCTTGGATGTGGGTGTTGTGTTAGAAACACATGAAACAAAAAGCAGCCATGACAGGTTGGCAGATATCCACCAGGGCTGTGGATCGCTCCGTCATGGAAAAGTTCATTCTCCTCCAACATCTTCTCTCCATCACAGTCCAACACAACAAAGACGAGTCCCGAGCTCTGCTGGTGTTTTATTGTCCTCATGCTGCTCTTTAAAGGCCTGCGAGAGCCGTGATCTTCCTCTACAACATCCCACGCAGAGCTCCGAGGAAGCTGTGTTTTCTGTGGGATTAGCGCCGTTTATGAGACCAGAACACTTCGGGATGTCCCCTCATGCAACGGCAACGTGCTTCATTGGAGCAAATAAACTCCACGTAGGCGATGATTAGATGAGACAGATTATAGTGAGTTCCTGTGTGGTTAGATTACACACAGACACACACACTCCTCATTATGTTGCAGTGACTCGTATCTGCTGTCCCGCTGCAGGCTGCAGATCCAGGGTTGACCCTTCCTTCGTTGTTTTCGCGGCCTCGGGTCTGGGCAGAGGTCTTCGAGCAGGTGTTAGGTTCCAGGTCAAAGGTCGCACTGCTCTGTGCCGTAAAAATATTTGTGTTTCACAAAGATCCTGAGTGATGTTCCTGTGGGAGAGCTCCCAGCTACAGATCGGCTGACAGTTATTAGAACTTCACGTCACGCCCAGGCAGTGTGACACAAAGCTCAGCAAAGCCAGGATATCTTCTCTGTGGTCGCACGACGGTGGTCATCAACCCGATAAAGAGAAGCGAAGATAACCTTTATTAGTCCCACGCGTGGGAAATTTGTTTTGTTACAGCAGTGGACATTTTGTAACGTCGGGTTGCGTTTAGTGGTTGAGAGGAGGCGGCAAAACACTTAGCAGGGTAGCCAAAAGAGTACACACTCACGCTGGTGTTGGGAATTCCACAGTGTGTTCTTTAATATACCTTCTCTTCATCAACCATATAAGCCCGGTTGAACGGCTGCCGCTTAACAAACATAGCGCACAGTGTTCGTACAACACATAACGTTGCAAACAAAGGTGTCTGGAGAGGTAAAACATAAAATCCGTCCCTCCTCATGCACTAGCGTGCAAGCACATGTTCACACCATCACAGAGAGAGAGAGCAGAGCAGTGGCACAAACTGATGACACCATCAACCCTCGACTTGGGTGTCTTAAAGGGACACCACACCATAGTGGCTGTTACAAGTTGTATAGAGAAAAAACACTGGAATAATAATATATCTATGAGACATTGTACACAATAGAATAGAATAAAATAAAATACTGTATACAATAGGATAAAAATAGAAGACAAATGCTATATACAATATGAGTATAATACAACGATGGCAGGAAGAGTTTTGCGCTTAGTGTTATTGCACATGTATGGATGTGTGTGTTTGTTCAGTTAAAGTCTTTGTTGTGGAGTCTGACAGCAGTGGGGAGGAAAGACCTGCGAAATCTCTCCGTCCCACACCGTGGGTGCCGCAGTCTCCCACTGAAGGAGCTGCTCAGTGCTGTCACAGTCTGCTGCATGGGGTGGGAGACGTTGTCCAACAGGGATGACAGCTTAGCCGCCATTCTCCTGTCACTCACCACCTCCACTGGGTCCAGAGGGCATCCAAGAACAGAGCTGGCCCTGATCACCCTGTTCAGTCTCTTCCTGTCCCCAGCAGAGATGCTGCCGCCCCAGCAGACCACACCGTAAAAGATGGCTGAGGCCACCACAGAGTCATAGAAGGTCTTCAGGAGTGGGCCCTCCACTCCAAATGACCTGAGTCTCCGCAGCAGGTACAGCCTGCTCTGCCCTTTCCTGTAGAGGGCGTCTGAGTTATGAGTCCAGTCCAGTCTGTTGTTCAGATGAACACCAAGGTACCTGTAGCTGTCCACAGCCTCGATGTCCATACCTTGGATGTTCAGTGGTTGCAGTGGAGGATGCTTGTGCCTGCGGAAGTCTACCACCAGCTCCTTGGTTTTACTGGTGTTGATCTGGAGGTAGTTCAGCTGGCACCAGTCCACAAAGTCTTGAGTCAGTCCTCTGTGTCCTTGTCGTCCCCATCAGTGATGAGGCCGACTATTGCAGAGTCATCAGAGAACTTCTGCAGGAAGCACTGGGTGGAATTGTGGGAGAAGTCTGCAGTGTAGATGGTGAAGAGGAACGGAGCCAGAACCGTTCCCCGTGGGGCCCTGTACTGCAGACGAACCTGTCCGACACACAGGCCTGAGCCCCGAGGCCGACACTGTCGATGTCATTTCCTGTTTTTATCCTGGTTTCTCAGAGTTGAGGAGATGAACCATCCCCGGGTCGTGTGACACTGGTCCAGCTGTGATCTGTGTGGATTACAGATGATCCGTTTGGTCAATAACAAAGTATTTTTCTATCGGCTTTGTTCAGAAACATATCTGATTAACGTGGAGCCGCTCAGACGATTCTCAGGCACGTTTTCATCGTCTGTGCTTCACGTCAGAATTTAATCTGTGTTTGTTTTAATCACGCATCATGATGTCGATCTAGCACAGCTCAGCCTGCACTAACAGCAGACATGTGGTAATCATTTCACCCTCATCCCACTGGTGATAACATCAGTGTGTGTGTGTGTGTGTGTGTGTGTGTGTGTGTGTGTGTGTGTGTGTGTGTTGTTCATTTGGATGTGGTCACATGACATTTGTGCAGCCAGGTCGCCGGTTGTTGTCTTTGTTGTTCTCGTCATCGCACTGTGAGGACAAAGTGAAGGAAATGTGTATTTATTATGAAAGCCTTCACGAAGCTGAAACAGCAGCGAGTCACGCGGTGACGTTTCATCAAAGACAGGATGCTCGGACGGGTCTCTGAGTCGGGTTTAATCCCAGTAAACCCGGATCAGCTGAGCCTGCGGCGTTTAAAACGAGGTGCAGCTGCAGCAGCTGTGTTTGGCCTGCATGTTACAAACTGTGATAACATCGTGTTTTTCCCTCTGGGTCTTTCCTTTTTCAGCCTTCATGCATTCCCCTCACCAGCCCGTCTACACGGCCACTAAACACGGAGTCATTGGCTTCACCAGAGCGATGGCGGTAAGACGCACACACATTAGCGAAAGCGCAGCACGAAGCCTTTCGGGATGAGAGGGCCGCTCAGCAGCTTGTTCTCGTGTCGCTGCAGGACGCGGCCATTCAGGGCGACTACGGCGTTCGCATCCACGCGCTGTGTCCGGCCTTCGTCGACACGCCCCTGCTGCAGTCGGTGGAAGACGAGGACAACATGGGCAAGTTCGTCAAGTTCAAGGACGACTTCAAACGGAGCATGAGCAAGTTTGGAGTTCTACAGTAAGTCCATGTGTCAGTCAGCAGCAACGATCACCAAAACTGATGCAAACGTGGCATGGTAAATGGCCTGCATTTGTATAGCGCTTTTCTAGTCCATAGGACCCCAAAGCGCTTCACACTACATTCAGTCATTCACACATCCACACACTGGTGATGGCAGCTACATTGTAGCCACAGCTGCCCTGGGGCGCACTGACAGAGGCGAGGCTGCCGGACACAGGCGCCACCGGGCCCTCTGACCACCACCAGTAGGCAAACACGGGGTTAGTGTCTTTCCCAAGGTTATTTGGCATGCAGCCAGGATGCAGCCTGGGATCGAACCACCGACCTTCTGATTAGTGGCTGACCTGCTCTGCCACCTGAGCTACAGCCACCCGTGTTTATTAAGGTGCCTGTTTAAAGCCTCGTGTGGACGATAGAGGAACTGCAGTTTTTGGCACATCAGCATTAGCTCCAAAGTTTGGCGCTTGTTGCTGCTGCAGTGTTTCATGTGTGTTTTAAACCTCCTGCAGATGAACGTTGGCACATTGCAGTCCGATCTGGTCTCACCTCAGCTGTCTGTGCTACAGCAGCAGCTGGTGTCAGCTGAGTGCGCTCAGGGAGCTCAGAGGTCTGGGTGAGGACGCGACATTCAGCTTCATGTGAATGAAGCTGGACGAGTGAGAGACCTGCTGCTCAGCACGAATCAGATCTGTTCTTAACTCCGCTTTAACTCGTCTCTGCTCTGATTGCATCACTGCTGTTTGAAAGACTTCTTCTCTTTCAGGAAACCCGATGAAGCGTTTGGAGCGGTTCAGTCCAGCTGTGAGAGACGCTGAACAGTGTCTACACTGTGCAGAGAGCACGCTGTGTGCAGTTTGCTCAACGCTGTGAAAGCTCTGCAGGAGGGAATCATTTAGTGTCAGAGGAAATTGAGTCCAGATGACTTCCTGAACACATGTGGATATATGCATCTGTACATCCACTGACTCGCTGAAAGAGGGCAGAACAGCAGCTGTAGTGTTTTTAGGGAATGTGGTGTTTACTTGTGTTAGTCACTCTGTAAAAACTCAACCTGCCTTTGGAGACAACAGTAAATCCCCATGATGTAAATCGTTACATTTTAGTTCAAGGTTACGGTGAGTTTAGTTTGAGTAAAAGCTTTCTCAGTGACTTCTGAAAGGCTGAACTCTGGAAACAAAGGAAACGGCCAACAGGGATCCACAGTCCTCCACGATGTTACACAGTTGCCTAAATAAGGATTCAGACTCCTGACTGAGGTTCTCCTTCCTCAGATTAAGATTTGGAAGCGTTTATAGTTTAGACTAATGTCAGTTTGAGGATAAATATGATGTGATGGTGGCACTGAAGTGGCTGCAGTGGGTTTGAGATGAGAGTCGTCTGTAGTCGGTGTTGACATTTGAATCAAGAATGTTCTTAATTTGACTTAAATCATGGAGATAAGTAACGGGAGGATAGTTTGTTAGGGTAACCCGCTGGGTCGGCCTTTATGTTCAGGCGAGTTCAAATATTTGAATCAAGTTGTCATGGTTACAGTTGTTTGTTGAGTCACATTTAAATCCAGTTAAGAATTATTTGAATTAAGTGGTTGAGACAGGATGATCCAGTAGGTTCAGCAAGTTTAAAGAGCCCATTGAAATCAGTTGTTTGGATTAGTTTGGATTCTATTCTGGGAGCCAAGATAATCCATCGATTTAGCTTCAAATCCAGTTTTAAAGCTAGGAAAAAGTTCAGTTTTATTTATATAGCCCCAATCCAGGTCTTTATGTCTTTAAGACATTCCTGCAGTTTAAGGCTACGTCCACACGTACACGGGTATTTTTGAAAACTGAGATTTTCCGTTTTCGTTTTAAAAAATAATCCCGTCCACACGTAAACACAGAAATAAAGGAAAACGCTGCTATGAACATGCCAAAGCAACAGGTGGCGATATATTCCTAACCGTGCAGAAATGTTGGCCAATCAGAAGTCTAGAGGCCTCGGTGGGAAAAAGTAAACAAGGATGGGGCATAGAAGCAGAACCGAGTCATATGTGTGGAGGGACAGTAACTGTGTGTATATGTAAGCATTTAAACACTGCAGAGAGTAGAATTAACAGTATTGTAGAAATTCATTTCACCGAAACAATAACGTGGCGCACAGTGTGACGTCAAAAAATGCGCACACCTTTGACGCTGTGTTTTCTGCGTTTTTCTCATCCACACGTAAATGCAAAAACGGAGTTTTCAAAAATATCCACCCTGGCAGGAGTTTTTAAAAATCTCCGTTTTCAGTGACCAAAAACGCCGTTTACGTGTGAAAAAAATCTGCGTTTTCAAAAATACCCGGGTACGTGTGGACGTAGCCTAACTCATTGGTGTGTGTTATCTGGCTTCATGGACAGATAGAGCTGGGTGTCATCTGCATAGCAGTGTAAATGTATGCTATGTCTTCTAATGATACTGCCTAAGGGAAGCATGTATAATGTAAACAGGATTGGTCCTAGCACTGAACCCTGTGGAACTCCATAATTAACCTCAGTGTGTGAAGAGGACTCTCCATTTACATGCACAAATTGTATATTTTTACCTTATTTTACACGTTGCTGTAGATCAGGGGTGTCAAACTCAAATACACAGTGGGCCAAAATTCAAAACTGGAACAAAGTCGCGGGCTAACATTAATATTTATTGAAAAAAAAATCTTCCTCCAGATATAAGAATGAATCTTTTCTTATGGACTCAAATAAGTTTTGCTGGAAAAGTGAATATGGAACAAGCAAAGCTTAATACTAAACAATATATATATTAGCTGTATAATACCAGTAGGCCAGCTCTGATAGTAATTTGGTATGGCTTCGCGGGCCAAATGTAATTAGGCTGCGGGCCAAATTTGGCCCGCGGGCCAGAGTTTGACACCTATGCTGTAGATAATGATGTGTCTGTGGGATGACTTGTTTCTCTAATGGTTAAAATTTAATTTGTGAAGAAAGTCATGAAGTCGTAATTTGTGATGCAAAAACAACAGCGTGTGTTTTTCTTCTTGTTGACCTGCAGGCCGTCGCTGATAGCAGAGGGCATGATGAGGCTGATCACGGACACCAGTCTGCACGGAGCGGTGATGAAGATCACCTGCTCCAAGGGAATCCATTTCCACACCTATGAGCCCATGTCGGCCTGAGCTCCACACTCAGGACTCACATGCTGAAGGAAAGATGCGGCGCTCTAACCCGTCTGACTGCAGCTCACCAGAGACGCTCGGGACGACACGTGGACGCTGCAGGAGCTTCAGTCAGAACTGCGTCTGTTTGGATTCGAATCTTTTTTATTTAATAATCATCTGCATAACATGAAAACAGTGATCATACAAACAATATCCAGCAAGCCAAAGTTACAGATGAGTTTTTTCGTTTTTAGCTAATTGTTTGTGCGTCACAGGAAACGCTGGACCGTCACTGTGGTCCGCCTCAGAGATGACGGCTTCTTTGATTAGTGTTATTTAAAGAACTGTAACAGTTACTCTTTTACAGCTGGTTTATGTGACATGTAAACACAAATAAATCAATAAATATGGAGTTTTGATAACCTAAACAATAATTGTATGCTAACATTTGTAGTTTCACAATGTCTGTTTATTTTCCGTGTTTTAATATTTATTCACAGCCAATACGTGGTACACGAGGAGTGAGGTCACAGTATGCACATCACCCATTGGCTTGTAAAATCCAGTTTTTAGACTGCAAGCTAGCTTGGTTAGCAAAGTGTGTACATGGACTGTAAGGATTAAAGACGCCTTGCCACCCTAACTTCTTGAACGTGGAACTGCTGGGGCAAGAAGTTTGCATAATTAGGGGCGTGGCCTATTTGACGGAACAGGCCGATGGCCGCACAGGCGGCTGTAGCTGCTAGCTGTCTGCTAGCTTCACCTTTGCTAACTGGAGTCCCTGAACAGAGACCTGTGAACCGTTGTTGGCATTTTTAATGTCATCATGTGAGGTTACTGTAGTAACAGACTGTCCAAGAAGGCGGAGCTCCAGGTTTAGTGCCTGCACTAATTAGCATAAGGTCACCTCTAAGATGGCGTGAGCCAAAAACCGGCATTAAGTCTGCACACAGTGGGTAATTTCAAAGTTGTTGCTTCCATCTTTATCCATAGTATAGGAAAGTGTGTGGAAATGCTTAGTAGTCTTTGATATTCTTCATATCAAATATTACGCTTCCAACTCAATCTCCCATTTAAACACAATAACGGCGGCGGTACCCTAAAATTATTCCTCCTGCAGATGTGTTTCCTGGACTTGAGCTGGTTTTTATTCTGATCATCTTCTTGTGTGGCTGGAGGAACATATTTGATACTCATCACTGTGTCAGTCCAATACAGAAAAACGACTGTGGCAGCAGCATGCAGCAACTTTATTTGTACAGCGCAATCCTTTGTGTGTCTTTATCTCCTCTGAACTGTGGGCTGGGACACAGCGTCAGTCAGCCTTAGCCCTGTTTTCACTGTTGACATTCCTCATAAATCCTTGGCCAATTGAATCCTTTCACCGTGGTGAAAATGTTGGCTTTTTCCCAAACTGGGCGCTCTCCAAGAACCCGTGTGTGGTTTGCATGAAGTCACAGGTTGTCATGAAGAGACGGGTATAAACAAAGAGGTTCAGTGAGGCTGATCTCACAGCTGCTGTGCTGAAGTTTCCCTGTGAATGAATCCACAAAGACATGAAATGATTTGTGGTTATGATCGTTGTCTTTTCCTGGTCTGGCTCTCCAGTTATCGTTCTACAGTCTTTGGTCTGTAGAATGATTGGTCCCCGACGTTTAAGTCTGCTTTCTTCTGACTGGCTGCCCCTCACAGAAATTTGAACAGAAAGTGGGTGGAGCTTGTCTTCTTACAATGACAGTATCAGGGAGTGTACCCAGGCAAATTGAGAAACCAAGTGTTCAGAGCAGTTTGCAGCCTGAGCTCAGGAGTAATGTTAACACAGTGCTCCCTCACTATATTGCGGTTCATCTTTTGCGGCTGTCGCAATTTTGCATGCTTTATTTTTTTTTACAGCCCATTGTGTTCTGCATCCTGATTGGCTGTAAATCGTTGTCAATCAATCCTGTGCCGTGTCTCGTGTACAGTACAGAATGTGTTCAGCTTGTCGATCGCTAGCAGTGGGACAAAAAGTTCTCGACATGCTGAGGGAAGGTAGAAGTTACTGTATTTTTTGGACCATAAGGCACACCGCATTAAAACAGTCAGATAAGTCAAACTTTACTCAACTCATTCTTCTTGCTTCCTCCACTTCCGTACCATTGATTCATTATTGATTCATTAATGTTAAATTCTCTGGCAGCTGCTCTGCTCCCATGTTCTGAAAACAGGGTTTGATTTTGGTTTCGGTCTATAATACTGGACTTATTTTTCTACGAAGGTTTGAACGAGAGAGAAAAATGTGAAAATGTTCATGCCTGTCTGAGAAAAGTGTAAAGTGTGCAGTGAGGGGTTTTCCAGCCTTAAAACATCTGTAATAATTGTAAAAAATAAAGTTGGCTACTCCCACAATAGACGAGGGACCGCTGTATGTAGAATTCCCAAATAATATGATTCGATTCAAATCAGATTTATTTATTCAGCACCAAATCACAACAACAGTCGCCTCAAGGTAGATCGGACAATAACACATACAGAGAAACACCCAACAATCATATGACCCCCTATCCGGTCGTTCAGTCTGACGTCACTAGCCGTGTCTGGACCTAAGCTCCGCTGCAGGTCCATATATCAAACGATCACTATGGCATTACTGAGAGTTGAAAAACTGTCTAAAGTCTTTCATCTTTAATAAAATGATCAGCGTTCTGCTCTACCAGGTGTAACAATTGAGTTTAACATCCAGGCATCCATGAAAACAGAATTTATGACATTTAACGGAGTTAGAAGTTAGCAGGGAGTTAGCTCGCTAGCTTCTATCTAAATACAATATAGCATGTCCTGACTGCGGGGTTTTGGAAACAAATTCAAACGTACAGCTCTGCTATCACTTCCAACATAAATGAAGACAGAAAACTAAACAGCAGTGACATTTGTAGGGTTACTGAAGTTGGGCTAGCTGGTATATAATGATGTGCTACGTGACTGCTAGCGACACAGCTATGTTAGCATAATATAAACAAGCTAACTTTTTTTCCACTCGATAAAAGTTAACGTGAGTGTTCTCGGTGGTCAGGAACAAATGTAATCACATGGCAGGATGCTGTAAAAGGACCAAACTTCAGCCAGGAGAACAACTGAGATAATCCATCCACAATACGAGGTTAGTCATTCATATACTGCTGCATGGGCTGGGCTGTAGTTACATCCTAAGGTTTTAAAAACTGAGCTTAAATAAATGATTAGCGGTAATAAAAGCCGAGGGAGGTCAACAGGGATCACTGACTGTTTTAGGAGCTTTTTGAGATCAAATAGAAGAAAATACAAAACATTAAACATGTTAACAACACAAAAGCCATATTAAACACAGACTACTTTAGACCCGGAAGTAGGATTCGTCACGTCATCACTGAACAACCGGATGAGAAGCACTTTGGTGACAGTGGGAAGGAAAAACTCCCTTTTAACAGGAAGAAACCTCCAGCAGAACCACACACACCTCGCTTCTCTTCCTGTTAAAACAGTTCTTCTTTCCTCCAGTCACCAAGTGCTGCCAGGAGAGGGTCGTCTGATTATTTGTGTTTTCTCTAATTTGTTGGATCTTTGCCTTTCAATAAAGCATTTTGAGGAGATGCCAGCATGTATGTATTCACATAAATGAACAGTCCTGAGCCGCCCTAATATGATATAACAGTGTGTGGACAGATTCTTTCATTGTGTCTTTGTAGATCTGAGAGAGGAAGTCAGGAGGGTCAGTAAAGTATGTGAGGGTGGTGCAGGAGATGTGAGGACAGAGGTGAGGTGTGCGGTAGGAGTGACAGATGGGTTCAAGGTGGGGGTGGTGATTACATCAGGGATCAGCTCTCAGCTCCTCCTTGTTTGCAGTGGGGACGGACAGGCTCACAGGTGAGTCTCTCATGTTTGCAGATGATACTGTGATCTGTTCTGAGAGTAGGGAGCAGGTGGAGGAGAGCCTGGAGAGGTGGAGGTACGACATACGTGTGTGAACGAGAGGCAGACAGGTGGAGAGGTGAACATGCCAGGCAGCAGGAAAGGAGGAAGACCTCAGAGAAGATTGGTGGATGCAGTGAAGGCGACATGCAGAGAGTTGGTGTGGCAGAGGAGGACGCTGGGATAGAAGGAGGCAGGTGATCCACTGTGGTGACTCCTAAAGGGAGCAGCTGAGAGAAGATTAACACGAACACAAAGAAAGTCTCCCATAAATACTCAGTGGTGTCTTTATTCCAGTGCTTTCTTTGTACAGTAGAAGAACTCAGATCTATACCCTGTATGTACATGATCACATTGTGGGAAATGAAGCGGGAGTCCTACCCAGTACGACACATTCAACACCAGTCCTCCTCCACACGTGAAGCACGATTGGTTGGCTACATTCTCATCACGTAACAGCTAACCAATATCAAAATCTACAAAAGCTTTGAGCTCCTCTGAAGCTTCAGTTGGCAAAAAGTGTTTGAGCTTCAGCCGCTGGTGTCTGTCTCATCGCCGCCGTGACCGTCTTCCTCTTCTTCGTGTGTGTTAAAAGGGGTTGATGCGGAGTCCCGTCCCCAGCGGGGAGAAGGGGTTGACCTTCGCCCACATTAAAGCGTCGTTGAGTGAGATGGCTGATTTATTGTCCTCCAGCAAAAACACCGGACCCTGAGCATTGAAACAGAGCAGACAGAGCTTTGGACACATCAGTGCAGAAACACGTCGGGTAATCAGAGCTCGTGGGGACAGCTAATGGGCGCGATGCTTTCCCTAACCATGACCTTACTGTAACCCAGTGGTTCCCAAACCTTTTTTGCTGGGGCCCCCTTTGTTTTACGAGTACACGGGTGATTTTGAAAAGCAGCTGTTTCGTCCACGTAAACGGCGTTTCAAATCACCGAAAACGGAGATTTTTTAAAACTCCTTTTTTGCGTTTACGTGTGGACGAGGAATACAGAGTTCGTCACGCAACATCAAAGGTATGAGCCTTTTCCACGTCACGCTGTGGCCACGTTATTGTTTACATGAGAGGAATTGCAGAATGACAGACAGTCAGATTAACAGTATTTTGTCTGTCTGCAGGTTTTACACTCTTACATATAAACACGCAGTTACTGTCCCTCCATTTACAAAGGCAGAGGCGTCACAGTGCGATTATTTTACGTGTAGTTGTTTTTTGCTGTGTAATAATGTTCAACATTGCTGTCAATGCATTTTTCAAAAAATGCCTCTCTGTGCAAAATGGGTTTAAAAACATAAACAGCTGTGGGATCCTGTTTGTCCGTGATGTAAACAGCCCAGCGCTGCTCCTGATGCAGGGAAGACCAACCCTGCAGGGAGACCTACCTCGGCACCTGTGCAGGTGAAGCCAAAGGGCAGATCTGCTTCACCATATTTTCTAGTCTTTGGCTTAGAATGAAGTTGGTTTGGAAACATATTCAGTGATGCTTCGTCTCCTGCTGTGCGT